GAAGAAGAAGACCATATGATCTTTAAAGATCTTAGCTAACTATAGTCTCATCGAAATGAAAATATTACCTTCATCTACTTTAAATTCAAAAGGAGGCTCCTCATCGTATCCCTTTATCACAAAAACAGTTCCATCTTGCAGCTTCCCGATCAAATTCACTAACCAATAGCAAGAAACAATGAAGTGATGAACTTACACAATACATAAACTCAAAATGCAATGATTCTTAGGAATTTGTGATTATCTTTTAACATAAGAGTTTACCTTGCACAATGGCGCCATCATTAGGTTTTTCATACCCCTCTCCTTCCTTGAGTATCTTTTTCAAAACCTTTTTGTCACTCGTAATCTCTGAAACTGTTTTCCACGAAACCAATTCCAAATTTATATGAATGGTAGCATTTGGTGGCATATCACATTCATCACCAGTAGCCTCCCTGCCATTCTCTCCAAAACCATCTGCAACGAATCATAGTAAACATTTGGATATGACGCTTAATCACATTGTATACATATTTCCTCGATAACAAATCAACTTGTTGGATATTCTATACAGGTATAAAGCCTACTAAAACATCATTTGAGAGTGTTATTTTTACACTTACATTGAGGTTTACAGTCAAGAAGACTTTTTCTCCCTTTTTCATTGTTAACAGCTTTGGAAAGGGCATGACAGAAATAACCTGCACAAATATCTCCTCATTGATCACATTCCATCAACATGAAACAATCATAAAGGGAAAAAAATGAAAAATGAAATAATAGCATACATATTACATACCATCATTCACTGTGAACTCCACTCCATCTGATTTCGAAACAAGGGTTCCATCCTCAAGCCGAGCTTCGTATTTGACTGCAATAAAAATACAGAATAACAAAAAGCATCATCAAACTCATCCGATGAAATATATATAAGATGTCAGCAAACCTAACAGCTGGCGAATACAATAGCAATTAGTTCATCGAGATCTTTAGGATTCTGCCAACCCTCTCATTCTGTAAGTATTTTCTTGAATATTCCACCATCTTTGCATATATCTATCTTTTACACTGATCCATGAAAGCAATTCAACTTCGAACTGAAGTGTTGCGTTGGAAGGTATTGTTGGAGGCGATCCAGACTCTCCATATGCCAGTTCTGGAGGAATAGTGAAAAGGGCCTTTTCACCTTTCTTCATAGTCTTCATTCCTTCATCCCATCGTTTGATTACTTGACCGGTGCAAGTAATTAAAAAATTGGCAACGTTATTTCTAATTTTCTTCACTGTATGTACAGTTAACTAATTCAATTAAAAAGTTTGAAAACCAGCAATTTAAATGTGCCGATAGAAGATACCGAGTATGCCAATGCCAATGAAAAGTAAATCCGGCTTACATGCCTAAATACATCTCAGTATTCAAATACAATGGGAAGATATATACCTTGGCCTAGCTTAAATTTGAAGGGAGTGCCTCGATCACGGCTAGAATCAAACTGTATCCCATCCAGTAAAGTACCCACATAGTGTACTGCAAAATAAAATAATGTATTAAACCTATTAGTTCCCCATAAAAATACTAAGGCTGAATTTGGGCTAAATGTTGAGATCTAATTCAGATATATTTTAACCACCTATGGCCAAGATACTCCAATTCGAACTGTACCAATATAATATTATTAATGTACAAAATTTCAGCTCAATTACAAGGTTATGCAAGTGAAACATAGCTCAAATCTTTAAACAGAAATAATCTTTACAACTACAAAATGGAAAAATAATAACCCAGAAAGAATTCAACCAAACCTAACATAAATATTGGCATAAAAATTCATTTAGATAAAAAAAAAATGAGAGGAAAAGATAANATAAAAATTCATGTAGATAAAAAAAATGAGAGGAAAAGATAAAAAAAAACATGCACCAACTCGCAGATACATAAAAAAACCCGAAGAAAGAACCCTAAATTAAAGCACATCTCGAGTCGACATACCTCACGATTTGAGGGAATAAAAATGAAAACGTGCACTAAATCACACCCACATGAAGAGGCGCCGGGCCGAATCGTAATAATTAAAAAAAAAAATTCTCTGTCCAATATTAAAAAAACTGTCCAATCGTGTGTACCCACATAGCATGATATAAAAAATGATGTGAAAAATGTATATATAGCATGATTGGAAAATTAATGCTTATTCATTAAGCTTCCTGTATTTTTGCAAAAAGTGAACAAAAAGTAAAGTACTTTATAAAAATGGGGGAAAAAAAATCATTTTACCTTGTAGCGATGAACTAATATTTCAAATTAGTGACTATTGAAAGTATTTGTGGCTTAATTAGAAGTAAAGCTTAAAATTGAAACATAATAAAAGCCCAAATTTCTTGAAATCAAACGTCAGGAAGGAAAAAAAATCTAAACTAATGCTATTCAATATATCAAGACGATCAGATGAACAATTATCAGATGAACATTTTCAAAGTATACACAAAGAGCCAAGGAAGCTGAATGGCAGTCAGAATATCAATAAGCAATATAGTAAGGACTTCCCACAATTTCATAGAACTTCTCACCTAAGATTATAAGAGTTAAACCACTTCATTATACATTAAGATCGCCAAACTGATACAATATATATGTTTTAGATTTTAAAAAGAAATTACAAGGTACTTGATCTGATATGTATGCATGGACAAGAAGCCATCGCACATTTTTCAAGCGTATACATAATTGAACAAATTGAATAACTATAGAGTACTAAGTATGAACTCTCTCCATATATTCTGCCTAAAATTTCAATATTAATAAGCTTCCTATTTTTTAATCATAGTGCTAAAACCTATAATGAAGCTAAGTTCCAACCTACATGTCATTGACATAGTTAATCATACTTGTAACCAAATAATCGATGTGGGGCAAAGTTTATTTCCTTTGTCACACATTTCCTCACAAGTTATCTGGGCTGAAATATGACCTCAACAAATTCGCTACCTTGAAAGCCTTTAAGAAGGACACCTTCAGCTTCTAGGAAACTTAAGGATGCTTTTCAGTTTCTTCAATATCAATGGAAGCTCTAAATGAATTTTCGGCTTTGGAAGGCTTAAGAATACCAAATCCTCAACAAGTATGAACATAAACCAACACAAATCATCAAAAATAATTAAGTACCAATTTGTATGTATACAATTACTCATACATTTATTACACACAAATAAATATAACCTTTAATTGTTCACGAAAAAATATTACTTTGTAAGGCTTAACAATACCAAATTCACAAAATCCACAAATATGAACTAACCCAAACCGTCCAAATTCATTCCAAACCAATCATAATGGTCCAGATAGCTCGATGTTCATCATGTGGATCGAGTCTGTGAGGAAAGTAAAAAGTGAATTCCACAATTTCATTAAGGTTCACAAAAATCAATCTTTACACTATTTAACAACAAAATATAATCATGTTCACTCTAAAAATTCAACATAAAAATAACTAAAATTGGGGAAATGTGCAAAAATTCCAAAATTTCATTGTTAAGGTTGTCAAAAATAAATCTTAACAGTAATTAACAGCAAATTGCTTAATAGAATCATAAATAAAAAAATTTTGGGGAAAGAGTACCAATATAATCCTTGAAAGCACCTGAGAAATGGAAAAAAGGAAAAAACAAAAGGAATCTGTGTCTGTGTGTCAGAGACACCGGCTGTGTCTGTGAGACACGGAGGTGGTGCCTCTGGTGGTCCCTCGTTGCCGGAAAAATGAATAAGTTAGTGAACAGAGAAGTGATTGCTAATCCACGCGGGAAGGCTTGTTATTACAAATCATGTGCAAAGATGTGATAGTGGAATTCAAGAAAGATTGGTCTGGATTCTATAATGCGATGATGTTTGAGAAGAACTTTGAAGCTGATCATCATGGGAAGAAGGTTGTTCATATAGTATTTTCCACTTCAAACACTTTATAGTCGTTTCATGATAATATTATTTCCACATAAGAAGGCATCAAAGTTCAATATAAAAGCCTTTCATAGGAATTAAACGCTTAAAAGGATCAATACAACCCACTGCTACTAATAAGGTAGAATAGGGCTGATACAATTACAAACAACTACAAGGAAAGATTGTTTGCTAAAGTTGACAAAGATTTAAGTATTATTACCAGCAAAATCACCTCAATTACACAAATGAAATCACATAATTATGAAACAAAGCAAGCCAACATTTAAAAAAAAAGGCATAACAGCAACTCTTTAGACTTTTATGTGGGCACATCCTTTTTTTCACTTTTAAGACTCCCACAAGAACACACCGACAAACTGAAGATCACCCCTAATTTTTAAGTAACAGAGGCAGCATCGTTTTTTAATCTTGCACCTTGGAGTTGGTTGTGTTTCAAGAAAATGACTTACCATTTTGCATAGTGGGATCTGGGGTGCTCTTAACATTCTTATTTATTTCTTTTTGTCTGCAATTCGAAGATTTTGGAAGGTTATTAAATTGCTATTTCCTAGTGCCAAAAACCCATATTAGAAATCACTTATTGTGTTCTTTAAATTGTTCCATCTTTACCTCTATGAAATAAAACGACTAAAGAAAAACTACAAAATAATTCACCTTGTCAGGACTGAATTTCAACCTGTATATTGACAGGCTGTGAGATAAACCAAAGCTCATTGGAGCCAAATCTTGAGAAGCAAGGCCAGATATAAGTTCAGTCAATTGACTTCTCACCCCTCTCATCAGTTCCATGACAACATTGTTATGGACACATTCAATTTGCTGCAAGGCATTAAACGATTAGCTTAGCTTAGCTTAGCTTATAGGGAAGCTTAAGTACTGTATGCTACAACTTAACCGCACATCATGTTTTCAATAGAGCAGTGTAAACGTACCAGTTTCTCCTTAATTGCATTTCCGAGTTTGGAGTCAGCCACCGCTAAAATATCATCTTCACAATGAGAACGGAAGAATTTGTGAAGACCTTTGCTGGGTTTGCTATCAATCAGTAAGGAAGCTGCTGACATCGCCTTTGATGTGTTCTCAAACTTGGAAAAAGCCTTTAGCTTGACAACCTATTGGTAATATAGAGCCAATGGCTAAGTAGACCGATAAACAAAGGGCAACATTACAAATACTGCTTTGAGTTTCGGCTGCAATGGAATTGGATGGATTTAGTCCATGTAACAGTGCCATCAAAATTCCTTAATAATTAGGAAACAGGATAAAAACAAATATAAGCACATAGAAAAAGAACATAAACTATTTCTCTGTCCAGTTGTTGTGATGCATTTTTTATATTATCAAAGATCACAAGAATAACTATCAAGTACTTGTATTACCTCCGTATCCCCCACCTCCACCTCGTCCTCTTCCGCCGCCTCTATTACCACTGTAGCCTCCTCCACCTCCATAATTACCATATCCACCGCCGCAAGTTTCGAGCCGGGCTAAGAGGCATGGTAGCTGGGGGTGGCAGGCGATGAAGGTGGGGCGGTGCAGGAGTCCCTGTTTATCAATGGCGATTCTCAATGATTGACTGTGTTCCAAATTCTCAACAAATCCAAACTCGAAAACTACTTCCGACACAATCCATGCACTTAACACTCCAAGGTTTATTTTTTATATTGCAAAAAAATAATAATAATAAGTTAAATAAAACAAGAATAAGTAAAGACAAAATGTTGTTCAAGATTTTAATTTTACCAGTCGAGCAGTGATGATGACACCAGCCCACAGAGGCAATAACCCATGGCTCAAAATCTTGATAGCTATTGCACTACCAATCACCTCCTGAATATCAGCCCCAATCAGGGCCAGCTCCGCCATGACCCAAAGTAGTACGTGAACTGGGAAACGAACATCGAATAACAAAAAACAGAATTCATCGAAACATTAAACGAAGTGATTTTCCCACATTTTTAAATATATATAAATCCAACAGATCAAATAAAAACAAGATACTAACAAAGCTAAAACACTGTCGAAAAAATTTAGATGTCAATGAAATTCTCATTCATGGAAAAAGAACACGATTGAATAGAGATAAAAATGGTGATTTTTCTTGAAATAACATTCTTCAAAGTTGACTACTCCTCTGCTCTTCCAAGACATTGTACTCTTCTTTTTTAATTTAACTTAAAATTTTCTTAATTTAAGCAAAACTCATTAAAAATATTCACCCAACTCAGATAAACACCTCAAGCAATAGATCCAACAGATCAAATCTTTCAGTTCACAAGCACCAATTGGCTAATTCGAAGAACCCAAAATTCAATAAAACAGTAATCAAATGAAGAGAATATATAAGAAGAATTCATAGCATACAACATTGTTACACCCTCTCTCTTTTCTCTACGAAAATTCACCCAATTTTTTCAATTAATTGATAATCAAGTCGACCAACTGTTTGTATAAATGCCTTTTCTCGATGGTATGCTACGGGTGTAGTGGAATCAGAGAAGAAGAAGATGGGGGAGTTGGGGTGTGGAATTTGCGAAGAGTAGAAGACAGCCACCGCCTACCCAAACTCCTGAAATTCTGAAACAGGGTCGCAACGCAGCGCGGAGAGCAATCAGCGCCGGTGGATTGTCTTTGCTGCTCATATCGTAAACAAAAACAATGAAACAAACACCCATGTAAAGTAAATAATTTCAAAAAATGTAGAGAGAGCGACAGGACTTACCAGGGTTCTTGGAGGTCACATTTGGGCGAGAAGAAGAACGGTCTCTGACTGCAGTGCTCCTCTTTAAAGAAAATAGGGTTTCATATTACCAGTGTTCGCTCACGATGGCCTCTCGCCCAACAGATCTGATTTTCTGTGGTTTTTATTCACTGATGAACCGTAGGAAACCAGTTGGGACGGTAACAATTGATATCCCCGTTCGCGAACGGGGATATTGGATTTCCTCGTTCACGAACGGGGAAACTCCCCGTAATCCGTTCGCGCACGGGGAAAACCATTTTCCCCGTGCGCGGACGGGAAACCCGATTTCCCGCATGGGGAATAAATTTTTTTTTTTTTATTTCCTTCTTTTTTATTTTCTTTTTTTCAACAATGATTTTTTTATCTGCATAAATCCATAGGATTTTATGTAAGTATTATTAATTGTTGTAATTTAAGTAGTAAAAAATTAATGTTGACAACCCATTAATAATACTGATAATACTAAAATGCTATGTTCACAAATTTATTAAGTTAACCTAATATGTTTCAGAATTTATTGTGAAATATAGAGAAATATTAAATCTACACAAATAAAATTAACTATACCTAACTACTTACAAAAATTTTAAACATGGAACACAATTATATTTACTTAAAGAAATACTAAATACTAAACATGCAAAAGTAATAATAATATGAACAAAAATAACTTCTACGTGTAAATACTTACAGTAAAAGTTTATGTTCTGCTGCAATACCAAA